AGTGTTGGGTTCGCACGACGAGCACGTTTACAAACTCTGATAGTGCTGGCAGCATCCAAAGCGGAAATCCAAGCCCTCCTTTTCCTACCCTTCCCAGCGGCAAACCGGTTTCAACAGCATCCACACCACTCGGGGGCCCAGTTCCTTTCCAATCTCCGCCGAGTCCGGCGCAGAGCCGACCTTCCCTGAGTGATTATGGAAGCAGTCCGAACACCAGAAGGAGGAAGCGGTGTGTGTGCCAGCAATGGGGGCTACTGTTTGGGATTTGGTTTGTTTAAAGGGCTGGGACCAGGCCTTTAAACAAACTTCCCAGAAAGGCTGGCGAGGCTTGCGCGCTCGGGACCAGTCAAAGAGGAGGCGGAGAGATGGAGTGGGGTGCGATGACGTGGACGGGGTGAGAGAAGGGCGGCAGCATTTGCTCCCGGGCGGCGAGGTATGATACAGTGCCTCCTACGATATAGTGCTATAGCGTGACATACCTCTAGCTATGGCATTATTGGGGGGATGGCACTATAGAAAGGAGGCTCAAATACATATTATTTGGGTACAAAGCACACTGCTAACACAAACACAGCAAAGCCTATAACACAACTAAATAACTTCATCCTTTGAGTACTGAACCTTGCCGGATGATACACGTGTGAGCGTATGATAACCTGTGCCAGACGGTGAGCCATAGCACTATATAGAGGGAAGCACTACTAAAGTAGGCACTATTGAGCGACCCCCCCCCCCCCCCTGTACTGCACATACAAGTGGGCATACTGTGGAGACAAATGGGCGTCTCCGTGGTGCGAGTGTGTGTGTGAGAGAGTGAAATATGCGAGGCAAGGGCGGTCTGGTGCTGGCAAATCATTCTGCCACGTTTGCAAAATTGCGACCTTGCGACCTTGCGACAGCAGCGACGCCATCTCTCGCGTTAGACCGTTGCCAGCTTCTCAATCGCCTCGTTTTTGGAAGAAAAAGAAACACATTTTGCTCGTCATGAACAGCTGCCGCCCAGATCTGCAATGCATGTAGGAACAAACGAGCGGCGCACTCGGAGACCCCGCAAACCCATGAGTGCGGTTGCAGCGTATGCATACTGTATGTACATACTGTACATGTGCCTCTGCAGTCCAATGCGGAGAGACGCCCAGCGGCAAGTGTTGACGCAAATTTAATTCAGACTTGGGCATCAACTCCTTTCCAAGCTCACTTTTTTCGTCCTCTTTTGCTTCCATTTTCAACAGCAAGGACGTACCAGAACAGCGCATCATTATCCTTATTATTCTTCTCTTTTCTTCTCTTGTCGTATCCTACAGTTTCTGCACAGCGTACGGCGCGACCCAACAGCCTGCGCGTAGGAAACCTACATTAGCGCGACCATCTAATACGGGGCGTAAGACCCCCATTCTACCCCGTTCAATGACGGTACGCTCCCCCATTGCACACGTCCCTCCGACGTTGGACTGCGGCATTTGCGACGAGTAGTCATTTCCATTTTTCTTACATATTCCACCCTCTAGTCAACTATATAAACATCGCGGAGGTGCCCCGCCTGCCGCCTTGCCAACAATGCTAGCACAAGAGGGGGTACGACGCCAACCGTCCAAACCCTTAAAACCCCTGTCCAACACACTGTACTGTACAGTAGTTGGACCGCGCAGCCTGGTGTGGCCCGGCTAACCAATTCGAATCTTCCGTTTGTCGTTACTGGTTCAACGCGGGAGCCGAACGCACGACAAGTTCCTCCACAACAAGTTTCTCCCCAACATGTTCCTCTCCACAACAAGTTCTCCACAACAAGTTCTCCACAGCAAGTTCCTCTACAACAAGTTGCTCACTTCCTTCATACTTGGGCCATGCCCTCATTCTCTGCGTCATTACCATCGGCCTTTTCCCCTCGCTCCGCCCCTTTACCGTCGCCCTCATCCCCTATTTCTACCTGATTTCCAGTAGACTCAGCCGCACTGCTGTCGCCGCTCAAGCCCTCCGACACCTCGTCGCGCCACCGTTCCCACCTGCGGAACACCCGTCCCCTCCGTGCCACGCCTTCGCGCTGCCCACCGCCCCCTTTCCCTTCCCGTTTCCCTCCCCCTCTCCGCCCGCGCGGCCAGCACGAGATCACCGCCACAGCGCCCACCAGCGGCGGCAGCACGAAAATCGCGAGAGGAATTAGCACGATCAGCGGCCCGATGTCCAGCAGCGCGTTCTGCTCCGCGACAAAGCCCCCGTTGGCCTCGTCCAACAGTCTTTGCACCTGCCGCCGCACCCAGTTCCATGACGATGACAGAAACACACGCGTTAGTGCCGTGCACGTGTCAGAGCAAGTAGATGAGACTTTATATATGCGCAACGTAACGTAACGTACCTCTCCGCTCATCCGTAGACTCACCAGCTCGACGTCGACCTGGCGGCGGAAGTCCGCGTCCACGGCGCTGCTATACAGCCAGCCACCGCTGAACTGGTACAGCATGTCCTTTGTGCTGAAGAGCGTCAAGCCCTCTGCAGTGACGTGGTGTGTGTGTGCGCGCGCAGATGAAGAGACACAGAGAAGATGGTTAGGTGCGGCTCCCCGACGCACGCAGCTGCGCGCCCAAGAACGGGTCTTCGACTTACTGCACAGCGGATCGTGCGCGATGACGTTCTTGGCCGACACGTCCGACGTGACGTCAAAGTCGACGTCAGAGTCCTCGTCGGCCACCCAACGCATACATTCGACCACGCTCGAGCACTGGCTCCACGGGTACGACTCGTACTTGCGCCCGTCGCTGTTCACTGCGCAGAATTCAGAAGAAATCAATGATGCCTCACTCGTTCTTCGTTAGCATATCCCGGGCATGACGGAGACAAGAAGGAAGAAGGAAGCAGAGAAAGAATTGTACACATACCTGCAGCATCCCAGACCTCCTCCAAGGCGGAATTTTTAAGGACCGAGTAACGCTTGAGCTCAGAGACGGAGAGGGTCTTGACGCTCTTATCCAGGGCCATGTTGCGCTGCTGGAACAAGAAGTTGACGACGGCGACCTCGTAGAAGAGGGCGAAGACGGATCCAAGCGCAACCAAAGCGGCGCTGAAGAGTGTGAATGCGAGGCCGTACTTGTTGTTGCCGAGCGGGAACCTCCTGACGTCCGCGTGTGTGCTGGAGCGGCGCGCGGGCGCTCCGCGCGGGAGATGGTGGTGATGGCGGCGGGGGCGGCGGGGGCGGCGGGGCGAGGCGGGTTGCATCCGGGGCGGGGCGGGTTGCATCCGGGGCGGGGCGGGTTGCATCCGGGGCGAGGCGGGTTGCATCCGGATGTCGTCGGTGGACATGGCGCTCTGGCGCTCGCCGGCGAGTATGTAGAAGGCGGTGACGAACGGGCGGCCAGGGAGGACGTGGAAGCGGGCGGCGATGTAAAAGCAGACGAGGAGACAGACGCAGACGGCGGCGGCGAAGATGCACCAGGTGGACCAGCGGAACGGGCGGATGAGCTGGTAGAGCGGGCCGTGCGAGGCCTCGTGCTCGCCGTCCGTGCGGCCGACGATGACGACCTTGTTGTCCAGGAAGGAGGCGGACGGGTAGTGTCGGCAGTAGCGCTGCTTGGTCTCCAGCAGCATGCCGGTGATAGCGAAGCGGTACGGCGGGTCGTGGTTCGCCATTACGTCGACAAAGTCGACGAGCGCGTTAAATGTGCAGGCGTCGGTGGGGCCGGCCCACACGCACAGGGCGTCGCTCGAGTTGGTGCGCGCGTGCAGCTGGAAGGCGATGCCGGCGAGCTGCGGGTGGAGCTCGTGCGGGCGGCCGCACGCGAACGGCTTCTGGAAGCGCTCGAGCAGCTCGGGCGTAGTCGCGGCTAGCGCGTCCGGCGGCAGCAGCACGAACGGGTCCTCCTGCACCGAGAGGAAGCAGGTCTCGTCGCGGCCCGGCCGCGAAGCCGTGGCGCGGGGG